CCGACCTTCATGGCCTTGCCGGTGTAGGTGGCGGTGTTCCAGTCAACAACCTCGGTGCTGGTCAGGTGATGAGTCCAGACGGAGAGGGCTCCGGCTCCGGTGGAGCGACCAAGGTAGTCATGGCCGGTGTTACGAATGATGAAGCGAATATTGTTCTTAGCGGCGAAGGAGATGGTGGCCGCGATGTGCTCAGGGGTCTTGGCGTCGACGGCGTAGACGACGTAGTTACCCAGAGTACAGGCACGAGACTGCGGCTGGAAGGGATCGCAGCTCTGGTTGGCGAAGAAGGGGGCCATGATAGAGGAAGAGGATCCCATGCTACATCATTGTTAGTCACTTGATGTCGTCAATATCATGAAGTTAGGATCGACACTTACTGGATCTCCGCATCCTGCCATTCACTCTGCAGAGTAGCGCAGGTGGCCGCATCGTAGACGGGGTCGTGGCAAGGCGCGCCAAGAGGGACAGTCGCAATCAAGTTGCCGCCAACAGTGGTGTTGAGGGCATCCCACTGCGCCGTGGCAGGCCAGCAAGCATCGCCGGGGAAACACTTGCAGTCACCGGCGGCGCGCTCAGTGAAGGCGGTGCCGATTCGGTGGTTCGGAGCAGCGAGGGCCGCACCGGCGAGAGCCGCTTGGAGGACAAAGCTCTTCATCTTGGACTACTTTACTTTGACCTGGTTTGAAAAGGCAAAGGCAGAGGCAGCGCAATGTGAGACAAAGATCGACGGCTGGAGGAGAGGGCGGGGGGAGTGGGCAGAGGAAAAGAGAGGGAAATGCCGCTGGACCATTTCATCAAAAGAAAGTTTTTCCTACCGGTGGCCATGGGCATTACTTTTAGTATGCTGCAGGAAGTGGCCTACCCGACCTCCGGGACCACGGCATGGGGGTTTGGAGAGTCCATCTCGACAGGGAGGACGCTTCCCGACTGGGGTTTCGACCGAGATTTGGGGTCCTATAGAAGGCGGACTTCGCCCCCTCAAACTAGTGGAAGTTTGCCGCACTTCTTACCTGTTGCTGATGAATCCGTCTTGCTATCGTTCGAGAAGGGAACAATAACGGGAAGAAGCCCCTAGGGTCGATTCTCATGCAGTGCCGTTTGTGGCTGGTTCCCTCTTGTTCCCCTGCCATCCTTGGCCAGGGGCGGTAAAGCGTTGCGGGCTGTGGAGCGGGAGACGAGGTCGATATCGTCCTGGATATCGGCCGGACACCAGGGATGCCGGGTGCCTCGGTCTATCGGCCACTAGTGGCCAGGACGGTCAGCGAGTCTGGAGACTGAAGGCCGGAGTGCGAGACTCGACAGTCGACACCGGACATTCTGATATCTATCTCCGCTTGAAGCTCCATTCGATTTTCTCGTTGTCGCTTCTGGCGGCCTGCTCTCTCACGATCCCGGCTCCCACGACTTTGCAAGGCGATGAAGATCCGGGCCACGAGAGTTCCGTGGTCCGCCGTCTTCCAATACCTAGCCAAGGCCGGGTCAGGCTGGCACGGTCGGGCTCCACGCGGACAGGTTGTTCGCTCTTCCAAAGTCTTGTTCAGCGGGGACTCGAGTGTGGCTCGCAGATCAAAGGGTGCAGTGCTCCCGGCAGCAACCCTGACGAATCCCTCGTCCAACAACTCCAAATTACTGCAGAATCACGCATCGTTCCTTGCAGAGTGCAGTTCGCTTATGCTCTGAGACGATGGACAGAAACCGGCTGTTGAGATGGTGCTACTGTCAACGCAAGAATGACGATGCTGTTGATGCTTACATCCATGGCTGGCCTGCCGTTGGTGCGGTTCGATTCGGAATCTCATAACGAGTGGTTGCTGGCTGCTAACCAATCTTCGATCCAACTGATGGTTACTGACTAGACAATATCCCGGACTTCTCCTCGGCGTCTTTGAGGAATCTCCAATAGTCGGGCGCAACCTGGGCCGGAAATTGAAGCTGCGGGGATTCTTCAGCAAAGTCTATCGAACCCCGGCCCGATTGGGGGCTCGCCACCAGATCCTTGGTAAGAAAAGAGGATCGATCAAGCAGACCCACGCATCCTTCAGACTTTCAAGGGGGGCCAACTGCAGGGGCCTCGCGGCGGTCTAACCTGAACTCGCCAAATGCCGATGAGATGAAGTTCCTCGGTTCCTCCAAGATTCGGTAGCAACCGCATCGTACGAGGCAACGTATAGGAGAACAAGGGGATGGGCCAAGCTGACCATGGAGTTGGGCCGCCGCTGTAACGTCTGATAAATATCTTGATGAGTAGTTCATGCTCGATCGGAGAACAGGGTGCGAATTGCGAAGCTTTGGCTGATTGCGACATTGTCTGCAAATATTACTGGGTGCGCCCCAAGAATTTCGTCCAAGGGGTCTCCCACCCCTCAGGTCTCACGAACTCAAGAATGAGACAGTGGTGTGGTAGAACCACAATGTTCATCCAAACTCCAGTGCAGCTGAGTTGAATCATGTGCGGTCATAGGATCAACGTTATTGGGACGTTGTCATGACATAAGGTCCATCTAGTAGTTGAGATCAACGGTGCTAGGAAACACTATTGAAAAAGGATTGGCGGCCGTTGTGCAAAATCAGCATTAAAGTGCCTCATACGAGGGGGCAGCAAACCAAACAGTCAGCCACCACGACGCCGGCGGCCGGACAGCACAGACATTCACGTCCCGTCCCGATCAACGTTTTTTCTCCCTCCGAAAGGTGTGTGTGGTATTATCTGTGAGCTAAGACTGTGGCTGCTTGCTTGATTTGGTTCCTTGGCAAGAAGGAATTTCGGATCCGAAAGGAATTTTCCGTAGGGCGTGGAACACGGGAAAGTTGTTCGATGTCAGCGTCTCCGAGTCACGAAGAGGACCCTTTGTCTTTTTTCAGTGGTTCCCTCCTCGTGCCCGGATCGCCTCCCTCTCCTGATCATTCTCCAGTTCCCGTGGACATCCCAAAGTCAAAATTTCTCGTCTCCGCAGATGCCCGAGAAGGCTGGCCGGCTGGGTACGGATACGGTTCCGGGGAGTTTGGGGTTAGAGACTTGGAGCATATTCTTCAGAAATTCAAGTCACGAACAATCATTGCTTGCTGTGCCGCTTTGCGCTCGAGCACACACGCTCACCTGAAAAGCGGGATGGCGCTGAGAACTTCTGGAACTTCTTTCTCATCGGTGGGGGGGATTGAAGACATGGTTACAACTTGCATGGATGTGCAGGCACACTCTGCAGGCCAAGTCGGCATATCAGACCCACGTGGTCGGAATGTGGCACAGCAACTTGAACTCTCAAAGTCTCAGTCGACTTGATTTTGACGAGGTCTTGGCTCGATAACAGAAGGTTTCTTGGTCGATACAACACTTCAGGGCCTTCCTGCGCATCGCTGGCTAGCAGCTAATTGCAAACACGACCCTATACGTGGAAACAAGTTTGCTTCAGGGAGAAACCTTTGCTTGATGAGACAACCTGCTTTTATAAGGATAGCATGTCGATACCAGAGTCCAGAGCTTTACCGCACATGGCAAATTGCCCGAACCGGCGTGTCTCGGACAGGGATATCCTCGCATGTCACATTCATCACTGACTTGTCATCGCGACACGGACCAAGTCTGGCCACATTCTGGTTGCGTGGCCCACTCCGTGGTCCATGAATTTTGATAATTGCGTAAAGTCGAGTTGAAGCTAGCCCGCCAAGTTGTCAAAATCTCCCGCTGTCACCTCTACCACTGTGGCATTTTAGCCCCCAATGTGATATATCATACGCGGTAACGCCATGTGACATAAAGGACCTCTCCTTGGGTTTGGCTTAGACTGCGGCTCATTTCTCTTCCTCGGATGGGTTCCGTGCTCGGGATTCAACTTCCATAATAATATGGAAGAACCCACGGGCAGCGGTTCCCACAATACGTACGGGCTTTACGAAATATGGCAGACTGCCAGGGGAACCAACAACTGGTTCTCTTATGAAAGACCATCATCCCTGGATCTGCGCTAATTAGTGCCGCGTGCAATGCCCGTACGCGTGCATAGCGTGCGTGTACTACAATGACTTCGTATATGCGTCCAACAAGGTGGACAACCAGCAAGGAACGGGGGCCGCCGACGACCACGTCTCTTCTAGAATCCTGGGTCTGGCGAGGAAACCCAGACGCATCTCCGGCCGGTGGCTCAGCGAAGTTCGGGGTGACTGGTTGCAAACTCGATGCGTTTTGCAAGATGCAGGCATGGGTACGTTCGTCTCCAGAAAGCACTCCTGAAATGCAACATCGGCACACTTTCCGGCGGGGGGAAAGAAACTCTGTGGCTCTGCTCCAATGGTTCTCGTACGGAGTTTGGCCCCGTATGCGTTCCCAACTTCCTCGTGGCTCCCCCAAGCTTCTCGCAAACGTGCAGTGCACGAGGCAAGAGGGGGACGTTACCTTGTAGACGATCCGAGGGACAAGGCCCGGAGGACAAGCCCTCCAGAATCCACACACCTCACACATCCGGCCTAGAAGCTCTCACAAAGTTCGTGCTTGCAGCCCGGCTTGGCCGTTACTTCAAGTGTGATATCTTTTACCTGCTCCGACAGGGGATGCCTTCTGGCCCAGATGCTCGGTACCGGAACAGGATACCCAATCCATAAGGTTGGGTCTATGTGGGAAAAGGCAAATGTGAAAAGGGAGAGAAGCCTGGAAGGAAGAGCATATTATTTGTATATTGATGCTCCCTCCACTCTTCCCCCTCCCCTCTTGGCACCAACGTTACTAGCTGAAAGGCCTAGTCTAGTGATGTTATGAACGACGAGCTCCTGTCCAGATAAAGCGGTCTAAAGCCAGTCGGCTCCGCCACCTCTGTCCACTCGTGCCTTTTCCTCCTAGTCACCTACCTAGGCTCGTCGGTTAGATCGGCAACGTCCTTCCCGTCTCATCACAGCCTGTCGAACAACGTCCGCCCGCAGGCCATCAGCCTTACGTCTGTCCCGGCTTGACTTCACCTTGTTCACCGACCGGGTTTTGAAGGAGGCTATTCGCAACAGACCAGCCCACGATGAGCGAGTCGTGGACTTACAACACCCCGCCGGGGACACCGTCCACGGGACCCCAGATCACGGCCATCGCGTTGGTGTTTACGGCGCTGTCGTTGATCATCATGATGTTGCGGTTATACGTCCGTGTGATCATGCTCAAGGCCGCTGGTTCAGGTATGTTTACTACCCGGGAAGTCTGATCTCCAAGACAGAGTGCTAACTTGTCGACCATAGATGACTGGGTCATCTTCGCAACGTGGTTCGCGGCTGCCGGATTCGCAATCGTCAGCACTATCCGTAAGTCGATCTATCTTCTTTTCAACTCGTGGTCTAACAATCACCTACAGAAACGAAATGGGGCTTGGGTCTCGAAAAGCTGGAGGACATGCCTGCGCAAAATTTGTACAACTTTGGTCTCCTGCAATACGCCGGCGCTCCTTTGTAAGTACTCGAATCTCCTAGAAGGACTGGTCAAGAGACAATCAGAACTAATATCCAATTCAGCTACATCAGCAGCATTCTCGGCTTCAAGATCAGCTTGCTTCTCTCATATCTTCGTTTCATCCCGAAGGGTCCCTACAGATGGGCAACTTTCGTCACCATCGGTCTCTGCGTTGCGTATCATCTTGCCTTCCTGCTGGTGCAGATAAATCTGTGCACGCCTGTAGGTTTCTCTCATCTCTTGTTCCAAGACAGAACGAATATTGACAAAGAACAGATCGCGAAGCAATGGGACCCCACGATCACCAATGGGTCCTGCATTCCTGGAGTTCCCTTCTACACCAGTATGGCGTCTCTTACGATCGCATTCGATGTCATTGTGTATGTTCCCCAAATCAAACCTGCTTTAAAACGCCAGCTAACAGTCGGTCTCCTCAGCATGTTCCTCCCCTTCCCCGTACTCGCATCCTCCAAGATCCAAAAGCGCAAGAAGTTCGTCCTCCTCGGTCTCTTCGGCCTCGGCGCCTTCATCACCGTCATCCAAATCATCCGAATTCAAACCGTCCACGCCCTTGCAAACTACCTCGACTCCTCGCCCCTCATCATGTGGTCCGCCATCGAGAACAACCTCGGCATCATCGTGTGCTGCATCCCGACCCTCGCGCCCCTCGTCAAATACTTCAACGAAAAGAGCAGATCAGGGAGCCGAAGCAACAAGTACGGTGCCGCGAGCGGCTACGGAAAGTCGGGGCAGAGCGGCAATGTCGGAAGCAGGTACGCGCTGCAGAGCTGGCGGCCGGGGATGAGCGGTATGCAGCCGCTCGGCAGCGGAATCGACCACAGCGATCGGGATATTGGGGTCCAGAGTTCAAGGATAGGGAAGGGGTCGGATGACGGCAGTGCCGATTATCATCTTGATGCGCCGGTCATCGTTAAGAAGACGGAGTTTGTGGTTACGAGCAATCCTAGGGAGCCAGGGGAGGCTGTTTGAAGGGGCACGGCATGGAGCGAAAATCATTAACGACTTGGTATATTGATGTCTGGGTACTTATCTAAATAGTTACAAATAATTCGAATGTCTCTACAGGGATGCAGACACCATTGGCCGTGTGTTCCTCAGCTTATGAGCTTGTTTCCTCAACATGGCGACTCTCGCGATACCCAGATCTCCATTCGGTTGATAAAGTAGTCCCCTCCCCAGTTCCTGCATTGCTTGACGCGTACGCCCATGTTGTAGTATTGGTGTCACCGAGGCATCTCTACAAAGACTTGGTCAACTCTACCTATTGGCCTCTGCGGCAAGTCAAAACCTCGCTGCTCAACATACCTGTGTGGAGGGCTTCCCTGTCGACTAGGTAGCCCGAATCTTCCGGTTGCTTGGCCTCCCAGGCCCCAGTAGCATTTGCTGTTGATCAAAGACATTCACCAAGCATTCGCTGCCGCACTCCTGAAGTCATATGTTTAAAAAGAATAGAGTTTAAGTCCGACTAGGTTGGCTGGTCATCCCGTCACTTGATTGAGAAAGTTTACCACAACAAAGTCAGCGGACCGGCCCGAGCTGAGCAAAAGGCAAATGGTGTGGGAACGCAACCATCAACTTGACTCTCATGTTTCTCAACCAAAGCTTTCTTTCACGAATAAAGCCTTTCATTGTGGTCAAATTCAAAGACATTGTACGATTCGGATTAAAGACCGCCTGGAGGCATAGCACTGACGTCAGAGCAATGTACTGGGGATTAAACCTAGGGTCTCACAAGGGCCTGACGACAAATAAAATCAAGCAACAAAGAGCACATCGTCATTACTTCTGATCAGAATGTTTAGAAGGTGATTGACCTGACAAACACAATGAGTTGAGCATGGCACAAGTTGAAGTAAAAGCCAAGTTCTTGTTCCACTAATCTCTGCCTTGGTTCGGCAATACACAGCTCTTATCATCCGAGAGGAAAGCAAACGGCGTCAATCCAGAAGTCAGCCTTCCTCCACCATCACCGTCCTTAGTCCCCTCCAATCTCAAAAAGAGCAGTAAGTGTACACGAAAGAAGCCTCCTACTTAGTAAGAAGGGCCAAAGGGGTCAGGAACCCGAGAGTTGGAGCTGGGGCTGAAGGCCTCTCTCTTAACGTGAAGGCGAGCACTGCCCAAGCCACCCATACCACCACCGCTGACACCAAGGCCTCCGTTGCCCTGCATCTGGCTCTGAGGTGTCTCGAGACCTCCGTGGTTAGCTCCATCCTGGCCCACAAAGAGACCGCCAGCAGAAGAGGTGGCAGAGTCATGACGCTGATGAGTAGGGCGAAGCTGAGTCTGAAAGTCACCAACGGTACCCAAGTAACCACCACCGCCGCCGACACCACCAGTACCGCCAGTACCATGAACACCAGCAACACCACCAGTGCCTCCAGCACCTCCAGCACTTCCAGTGCCACCACCAGCAAGGACACCAGTAATACCGCCTCCGCCGGTAAGGCTGTTGAGGCGAGTGAGATCATTGCCGATGCCTCCGACGGCGACTCTTCCACCTCCGCCGGCATTCTTCTGGACACGACCACCCAGGGTGTGACGGAGAAGACCAAGGTCTCCCTTCATGATGTCCTTAAGCTCGCGGACCTTCTTTCGGATCTCCTTACTCTTATCCTTATCATGCATCGCATCAGCGAAGGACTCAAGGTTGGCCATAGTGTCGCTGACAACGGTGTTCTGAGCTCGAGTATCCTGGAACTCGTCATCCTCATAGAGGGCATGCTGAGCCTGGACGTTGTTGCCCCAGTGGCACATGGCAGAGTTCTGGTGAACAATGAGATGACGGAAGACCTCGGTCGGGTACTTGCCGCCGTTGAGGGCGACAGCGGTGAGAACGTCACGCTGGCTGAGGTCGCGGTTGTTCTTGAGCTTCTCAAGAATCTTCTTGTAGAGGGCGTGGTCGTTGAGACTCTGACGCCAGAAGGCAGTATCGATGTCCTCGAGGATGATCTCCAAGAGTTGGGAGTCAACCTTGTTGATGAGAGTCTTGATGAACTTGCGGGCATCGGAGAGATTGTCGCGGTACCACTCCTGGTTAGCCGCGAGAACAGCCTTGTCGACCCAGGCGGCGGTGTTGCAGCGGATGAAGAGGTCCTTCAGGACCTTGTTGTACTCACCATCATAATTGACGGCGACGATGGCCTCAAGAGCGAGGAAGTCGACAAGATCGGGGCGGCGTTCGCGCTCGGGGACGTTCTTGTCCTTGAGCGAGTTGCAGAGGGACTGGTAGATGGTGTTGTCCGAGATGCAACGACGGAAGGCGTTGGAGTCGATGCGAGACTCGATACGGCCTAGAAGGGCGGGAGTGAAGGTTGCGTTCTCGCGAATCTTGCTCTTGGCCTCCGTGATGCGTCTGGCGCGCTCTTCAGCCGAGATGACGGTCGTACCGCGGTCGCGTGAGCGGGAAGACATGATGGTTGAATCGATGGAGGGATGAGCGACTAGAGGTTGATGATTTGTTGGAGGTTTCTTTGTTTGCGGACGAATCTGCGTCAAAGAAGGTCAGAAACACCTTCGAGGATTGAACGAAAATAATAAAATTACCTACCGCGATATTCGGCTTGTTGTGGAAGCTCTCACAGCGCGCCTTGTTGTGATATTGTAGCGATGAGGGCGACAATGTTCATGCCGCTTCGCTATACCTCGCCGGTCAGTGATGTATCACAGCGAGATACACAAGCGATTGAGTGAGATCAGAAGCTTGAAAAAGGGACGAGCCAAGTCTCGAGGGTGGTGGGTGAGAGGAGAGAAGAAAAAAGGAAGAAGAAGGGTGAGGGTGAAGGTGAGGGCGAGGGATGGCGAAGGAGGACGAGAGGGTGGGGCACGGTCGAGGTGAAGGGTGAGAATAAAAACAATGGCCCTCACCTCGAGGCAGGAAGGAGCGACTGGGCTCGGGCCAATAAAGAATTTTCAACTGCTAGAAGGTAGGAAAATTCTATTCGTTTGCAGTGGGTGTATTTCAAGAGGAGAAAGGGACCAAATGATGAGAAAAGTGAGGGCTTACTTAAATTGTGGTTTGTCGGAGTGGCTGACTTGAGATGCGGTGGTAAGGAAGAAAACTTAGGAAGGGCTTTAACTCTAGAGAACATCTTTATCAGTGGATCTCTCTACGCATCTTCGAAGGCAGGTATTAGCATCCTCGCCTTCCCGTCTTGCCTCTCTCTATCTCTTTCCGACGTATTCGTCTTTTGCCGGAAGTGAGAGGGCCTGGGGAACCAGGATAGCGGGCATGGCCGCGTACTGAGCCGCGTCGATACACCGAGAAGAAATCACACAAGCTGTAGAGCGTTCTTAGTGAAGGGCATTATATCATGGATCTGACTGAGGCCTAGTACAGCTGATCGTTGGTAACATCTCGCCCAGGTCAAGCTCAAGAAAAGATATTACGTTGCTATGAACAGGCGTGATACACACCAAATATCACTGTTGCTAGGCTTCATGCAAAGGCAAGAGCATTATATTGACTATTTTTGATTTTTGCTATGCAATACAGCAAACAGCTGCCACCCGGTCTGGGATCCTTGGTGTGCTCCCATGTCTGTCATCAAGTCATGGTCTCATAACAAAGCCGATCCAACAAAACATGCGCCTTTCAATGTTCCTTGACAATCTTACCACGTCCAGTGGTATGTAACAATGACCAAACCCTACCTTTACCCAAGTAACAACGACGACAAAAACCAGAACGATGAAATTAAGAAGACAGAGGGCTGATACCGAGGACCTTCATCCCATTCTCAAAAACCTGTCTGGCATTCTCATACAGCACCGCTCGTGCAAGGTCAAGCGCCGGATCGTCGGCAGTCTCCTCCTCTTCGTCTTCACCCTCGCCCTCATCGTCATCGAGACATACCAGTAACTGCTCGGCCAGCCGATACAGAAACGTCAACACAGCGGAGGGCTCGAGGGTCTTGTACGCGGCGTTGATGACATCGGGATACTGTGCCATGAGTCTCAGGAGATTCGTGTACTCTTCCTCTTCTAAATGCGCGTAGTCGACTTCTCCGAGCGCAGTCGGGTCAACTCCGAGCTCCTTGATGGTCAAACAAAGTCGAGTGTAAAGCAGTTGAAGATGGGCGCCGGTCTCGCCCTCGAACTCAGTCATCTTCTTGCTATCGAACGCGTACCCGTTGCTGCGCTTGGTGTGCATGTCTTGGGCAAGAAGCGATGTGATACCGAAAGGCTCCGCGGCGGCAAGAGGGGCCCCAGCATTCTCCTCCATCGCCATGGCGTCTCTGACTGCGTTGGCACATTGGTTCAGCATGTCTCCCAACAAGTGCGCATTGCCTAGTTGGGACGAAAGGCCCTGGACCTTGCCAAAGTTCACGTGTTGAATCTTCTTCGCGAGATCCTCTCTCCCCATTAACTCGAGTGCTTTGATCACGCAGCGGAAATGGGAGTCCTGCTCCGAAGCGACGACGTAAATCATCTTGTCGAACGCAAACGTTTTCTCACGGTCGAGGACCGCGGCCAGGTCGCGGGAGAAGTACATGGTTGTGCCAGTACGGTTCCGGATCATACCAGTGCCGAGACCTTTTGCGCCGTGCTTCTTGAAGTCGATGAGCCAGGAACCATCGCTCTCCTCAGATATCCCCTTCTCTTTGAGGACTGTCTCAACTTCCGCAATCGAATCAGGCGTGACCTGGGACTCTCCAGCATATTCATCGAACTTGATGCCGAGACGAGCGTACGCTTTAGTGTAGTCTTCGACATAGACGTCGCGGAACCTAGTGGTCAAGGCTAGTGCATCGGCATCCCCTTCCTCCCATTTCTTGGAGAAGGCATCACGTTCGGCGTAAATGCCCTGTGACTCAATCTCGGCTGTATTCTTTCCTTCCTCCTTCGCCTTTGCGCTTGCCTCTTGTTCAGGCTTGAACAGCTCGTTGATCTGGTTGTGTACATCGAGTAGGTGGCGAATGGGATCTTTGGCAAAGGCTTCCTCCGAGCCAAACTTGTTCCAGCCGACGGCGAGAAGGGCGATGTTTTTGCCCCAGTCGCCTAGGAAGTTCAGTCGGCCAACTTCCCATCCCATCCGCTCATGTATGTTGGCAATGGCAGCACCATTGATTGTGCTACGAAGGTGCCTGCCCTCGAATTCTTGTGCGATGTTGGGCGACGAGAACTCGACGATGACCTTTTTGCGTCCAGGCTCGGGTGAAGAAGCATCCTTCAAACCAAAAGTGTCATCGCTTCCATACAATTCTTTGCGGTCGGCTATGAAGGGAACGAGGAGTCTGGGGAGAAAGAATGGGGAGGAAAAGATGCGGATGTGAACCCCATCGACGAATGGAAAGGTGTATAGCGGTGACTTTGGAAACTGCGTTTTTCTTCTGTCAGCCTAGGAAGGTACATTCAACATTCACTTGAGTAATAACCTTATCAAGAAGTGCAGCTGCGGCTTCGGCGTTCGCTTTGATCTTCAGACGAGGCAGAATGATGGCTAGATCGCCCATGGAGATGGCAGCCGTAGACTGAATCGCCTCATACGCAACTGCTGGTTCGCAACCTGCCACCTCCGCCACGATCGTGGCTAAGTAAGAACGCCAGATATCTAACGGACGCACTAATACATCGGCAACTGGAAAGGATGGAAGAGGCTTTTCGAGGCTCAGCCTCCCAAGGGAAGATTGAAGGCCGTTGATGGACAAAGTCGCCATGGTGTTACTGGGATCTGACAAGTATCTTGTGACCACCTGCTTTGGTGTGTGTGGAAGAAAGAAGACGGGCAAGCGCTATCACAAACGATGGGAGAATTGTCTCTTTCTTCAGCGATAGCAGCCGAGTGACGAAATGGGCCGTTGGTGTGGTCGGGCACCGAAGCCAGCCAACGCGGCGTCGCTGGATTGGTTGGTTTCCAGACTTGCAGACGCAGATGCTATCACCCAGTCGTTGAATGAGGCTACCGTGCATGGTATGCGACGACTTTGGACCGGCACTGCCAGCATGACATGTGTCTCGCTAACATGAATGCATTGATTTGTTGTCTGGCTGACTTACACACTTTGTTCGGCGACACGATACGCGATGGAATGGCTGTCGGGCTCTATCCCACCAACTGCCAGGTAGAGTTATTATATTCATCTCCAGGCTTTCTCTAATTTTGTCTATTTCGGGATTATCATAGAGGAATATGACTGAAGTACCTTCGAATTCACAAATTATTCTTCATCACCCCCTACCAAAATATGTGCAAATGTGTTGACGCTACATGTGCAGTTCATGAGATAAGTTGGCCAGTCCTTTCATACGTTTTGCGCCGTCTCTTCGTTATCCGAATAGCCTCTGGACGCCGCAAAGTTCAAGAACGCCACACTAGCAATCGAAAATGCTATCAGACAGGTTGCGATCGCAAAGCCACTCTCGATATCACCAGTTCTGGCCGCCCATATGACGCCGAACACCACGCAAAAGACTACAGATGTCCACCTGATGAGCCACAAAAGGTTATAGTTCGGGCCTTCTTCAATCTCCAGGCCATAGCCTATACCCACCTTTCGTTGCAGAGGGAGCTGCCCATCAATACGATGAATGATTCGGTCGAGATTACTACGATCGCTCCCATTAATGTCGGCGGTGCTTTTGAATAGGTCCATAAGACGTTTTGACGGGACAGGCTCGAACGAAGGGCTCTCCGTCGGCCGGTACCTCGCCGCTTCTGAAATTGGAGGGACTTTTTGTCGAGACCGTATCGAAACGTAACCGTCGTTATAGAGTTCGAACTGCGAGTTTCAGTACGATACGAAGTTAAACACGCAAATAGCTCAGATCATCGAAACAACACACCTCCACATAGTGCATTCCAATCGGCTCCCTCAACCCACTCCGCGAGAGGAAACCAGACCAGGTTAACCATCGATCTCTCAGCAATAGCTCTCTAAGTGATCTGAAGAAGGATTTATCATCATGACAACCTTGCGAATTGATTTCGTTCAACTTCGGAAGTCTTTTGCCATCGACTGGAAGGCATATAGGGATATATTCGATGGTTTGACCCAAGTTCCGTAAAATCTCTGGTGAGTCAGAAATGCTGCTTTCGGCCTTTCTTAAAAAAGGGATACTGGGAATCCAATGCAGAATATGCGACTTAACATGGGGACTTGTCGAATTGCGTCTTAGGGGGGCATTGAACCCTGGGAGTACGCTGCGTGACAGCTCCGAGGCACATGCATCTTGCGCTCTTCGACGCGCTCTTCGGATCCAGAAAACAAAGGCGGTTCCTATTGAAACATTGATACCGTAAGCAACCAGAAGTGACATCAGGAATGATTGCCAGTTCCTTGTGAATGCGATGACGCCTTCCGCGCTAAAAAGTGCGGTGGTTTGTGAGAAAGCCTGCGTAAGCTGCGACCGCCAAATCGTGTCAATATTCATTCGCGCCTGTTCTTTCAAGTAAATGGGAAGGACTTTGAGACTGACCAGTGTGCTAAATGCGAGGACACGAACTTCTTCAACATCTCTAGGCTCGGGGAAAACTAGTTGATCATTTCTCAGCCTCACTTGTGTCATTTCCCGCTTAACTTGTCAGTGCTTAGTCGTCTTTCTTCTATAGGTGGGGAAGCTGACGTTTTGCAGTTCCTCTATCTCAACTTGTACTTGCAGCATGCCACGCTTCGTGTTGTCAGCGACGAGTCCTGGCGATTCGTCCTCGAACGAGACTTCACTTACAGATCTGGCAGCAAATCGCTCGTCTAAGGTTGATGGAAAAATTGAAGGACTCTAAGACCTGTTAGCGACGACAATGTGTAATTGACAAGTACCCGGGAGCCGCACATTCTTGGACGCTTCACACAATTGTATCACGGAGCTGCATTTCTCCTGGTAGCTTTCTAGTCGAAAGCTGAGCTGACCCAGCTCATTGAATCTTCGCCTGATATCGTTGAGATACGGATAGCACTCTGACGCATCTCCAGGTTGCCCGTCAGAGTTGAGAAAGAAGTTCACTTCGGTTGACAGGAAGGAAGCGCCGACCTTCACCGTTTCATGGACGACGCTTAGAAGATCCTGTAAAATATCTCCAGACTCCATCATCAAACTCCTCAAGGCGTGGACTTTGAACTTATGCCGCTCGGTATTGGCAAGTCCAGGCGATAGCCGTACTTCACGGAGAAGTGTCTTATGCTTCCGATCCTGGAGAACACGTTATCAATTTGCCGCGACCTCGAGTCCTACTAAGGAGAGTATACTTCTCTTTCGATGATCTGTCCCATGTGAAGGCATATATCTTCCCATTCATCTCTGATTTGAGCAAGTCGAATGCCAAATATGCGAAGAAACCAAACACGTGGATACCAGTACGGCATTCTGGCATCGTCTTGTCCAGAACTGCGAGGATCCAGCTCAAGGTTGCATACCCTTCCATCTTCTAGGTCATCATCAGAAAGTATTACCTGGTCATGGACGCTTTCATCTTCGTCGAACCAGGTGTCGATGGAGAAGTGTGCTGTCCACTGCCAATGATCATAACCACTGACTAGACAAGCTATGTGGCCTGAATAGATACCGTGAACTTGCTTCGCTTCGTCTCCGTCTTCTTGAGACATCAAGTCTGTGACATTCCTTGATGATCTAAGGGCTTCATGATCCGCGATCGTGATTCTCTCATCCTTGAGAAGAATCTTTGATCTTCGCCAGACTCGAAACGGCAGGTGAAATTCGAGAGAGAATATTGGATATCCCCAGAGCTGAGAATAGATTATAACTTATTAATACGAGCAAAGTCATCTATCAGAGTCCTCACCAAACTCACCTCAAGTGAAACCCCTACTGATGTTACGGAGTTGAGATGCTTGTAGAAAAAGTCTCCAAGGAGCTTAACCTGAGATAAAGAGGCAGTTTTCATGAGCGCAAGGACACTCCAACAATCCATGTTCGTGAGGTAACTAAATCGGCTGTTAACATCTCGCCCAATGCAAACTTTCCTTCTAAGCCGTCTCTTTGTTTGTAGTTAGAGCATTTTAGAAGGGTATATCTTACAGTAAGCGACATTCAGCATTAAAGGCTTGGGTATCTTCCCACTTGGTCATCTCTCTTGCATCCTCTTGTTCCCGAGTATTGGAAGTAAGGACTTCTTGGTAGCGCTAGCAATCATGTCAGGGATTATTACGAATGGAACTCAATGTCATTACGCGCTCGTTGGGAACTTACTGGCTTCGAAAAAGCCTCAGCGAGTTGACGGGCAGTCAATGATCCCGAGTAGTCTCGGGTTTTCACCACGCCATCAACGAGTTGACTGTCTATGAGCCAAGCCACTCGCTTTTCTCCGTCGAGAGATTCAATACTGTGAAGGTCGTGAAGATCCAAGTCATGGCAGATATCGAGGATGGCACGCACGCGACTACGGTATCTTACCTCGTCGTCATCAGACGCGAAGAACAGGCTGATAGCATCTTTCGGCGAGCTGAACCCCTCATGACAGCTTACCCATGGTTTATCTTCAGAAATTGCGGCTTTCTTTCGTTTCTGAGAGAATCGCTGAGGCCAACGATAATCATTGCAAAGAGGTTTTGGGGTCTGATTACATATCGGGGTCGCGAGGGTGTTGTCTGATGCGGCCCTGTCAGAGGATTCGAGGAGCATTTGATTGCCCGTCGTCTGGGGACTCTGGGGAGGTTGAGCCTTGGGGCAAGTGTTAGGTATGAGATATCAATTTATATATATCAATTTATCAAACGTGGAAGCATAAACTGCCAATAAATACGCGACCACCGGCGCGACTTCTGAGGATACAGGGCAACAGTCTTTATGGAAAGTAAAAGAGCTTACAGCACGATTCGAAGCGATCCTAGTGCCCAGAGGATCAGCAGCTGCAGAATTCCTTTGACGCATTGAGGTCATGTTGTGTAGAGCTCTGATAAGTCAAAGCTTTCACAAAATTCGCTCGTACACAACAATCCGTCAGTGGCCCGAACGCTTTTCCTCGTGGTACGAGAATGCTGGTTTTGTTTCTCGCGCCTCGCCTAACTTTCTCCAAATTCCAAGTCTACTAGGTAGGATGATGATGTTTAGAAGATTGGTCGGACTGGTCATGATCTTGAAGTCGTGTCCGCACTCTATCCACACGGCATCTGCTATAGTGGGGGAGTAATAGCTGACATAGGGACCATACCACGATACTAGATGAGCCGTAGTAGGGTTATGTCGGGTCGAACTCGGCGGTTGCAGGAGATATAACCTGGTAGCTCGGCTTAACTAACTCATGGAGACGTACGGATGTCTAAATCAATGCAAATTTCTTTCGTGGAACGGGAGAGTTAGTCGGGTGTGGGAATGAACGGGAAAGAACGAGGCGAGATAGGGGACTTATCTACCATAATCTGAGCGAAGTCGGGCACATAATCACATCCCAAGGCCGCCGATGTTGTTCTCGTCGCCGATTTGTCTGAGTTAGATACTTTACCTTCGGCCAAGGCAGACTTAGGTATCAATGCATGAGGCGAAAAAGGAGGCTGTGGCT